TTTGTATTTAAAATTATAAGCTTAATATTTTACTTTAAAAAACAAAAAAAAAATATTAAAATTTATACATTAAAAGCAGCGTTATATCTCTGTCTGCAAGGGGCGCTTTGAGGCAAAATTTGTCTTTGAGCTAAAGTAGAAGCCACAAAAGCTGGTTTATTTATAATTTTGTTGTTTAAATTTATTTTATTTATTTTTGTTTTGTTTTTTAAATTTTTTGACACTGATTTGGTAGATAATTCTTCTTTTTTACCAAATGCTTCTTCAGTTTGTGGTGAATAGAGAGGAGAAGAAGAAGGATGATTTTGGGGCGGGGAAATTGAGGACATAATAAAGGAAGAATAAAAGAAGGAGAGTAGAAGAAAAATTTTGTTAAATTCTTTTAAATTAAGAAAATTTAGCAACTGATAAAAAATAATTCTGGAAAAATTTAAATAATCATTCTGTGAGAGGATTAATATAAATTTTATTATTTATTAAGATTTAAAAATTTAGAAAAAATAAATCTTGAACGGTTCATTCTGAAATTTAAGGCAATCTTTTTTTGTAAGCAGTGTTTAACCATTGCTAAATTTGTAAAAGAAGTAACTGGAAGGGAATTTTAATTCACCAAAAAAAGAAATTTTCTGTGTCGGAAATTCATGAATAAAAGCCAAAATCGAGAAATAATTTTCAAAAACTAAGTTGAATTTAGAAAAATTTTTTAACAATTAAACTGCCTATGAAACTGGGAAAATAAAAAAATTTATAAAAAAGATTTATAAAAAAGTGTAATATAATCCATATTATTTATTAGAATTTACAAATCTGGAAAAAATATTTTGAAGAAATCAAGATGAAAATTTTAAGAGACCCTTCGGTCACTCAGGTTTCTAATAAACAAAAAATTTGTTGAAATACCGTATTTTTCCTAAAAGTGCGACTGTCTATATTAGACCGACCCGTTATATTAAACCTTCCTTATAAAGAATGGTTGAAAAATAAACCGACCGGTCGAACTATTAGGAAAATACTGTAATTGAAGATATCTAGGATGAGGAAATTTCTATTTTAAAGCTAAAAATATTTTTTATATTTTTTTTCTGATCAAAGAGATGCGCATAAAACTAAATCATTTTTTTCCCTTTTTTTGTTATTCTTTAGAGAAAATGTGTTTTCTTTTTAAATGAAAAATTGTGGAAAAGTCAGCTTTGAAATGATCATAAATTTTGTTTTCTTAACTAAATGGCCAGAGGGGATTGAAAGAAAATTTTGTCAATTTTATTAAGGGTGTGAAGAATCGTGGGGCCTAATGGGTAATAAAAGAAAGGAAAGGAAGAGCAAATTTGGGGTAAAATACTAAAACTTTTTGGCGGAATAGGTTTAAGTAGATTGGAAGGAAGGAGTAAAGTTAGGGAAGTAAAATAAATAAAAGGATAAAAATATTTTGGTTACTATCTAAACAAATTAATTTTTTTGGATTTGTTTTTAAAAAAATTTAAGAGGGTAATCAAAAATTAAAACAATTTTTTGAAGGAAAGTTTTTAATTTAGGTAGTTAAAGTAATTGATGGGAAGGCCAATCGGTACTTTTCGGTTATCTCACAACATTTTCCTAAATTTGATCGGTTATAACTTTTTTGTTTGATCCTATCCGAATAAATCTCATATCATTCAGTAGCTCACAATAATCTCATGTAATTAATCACTAGAGACCAGGGCTGGGCGAAGTCAAAAAATAAAAAGCGAAATGCGGAATGCGAAACTTTTCGCGCCAAAAAATGTGAAAAATGCGAAAGTTGCGAAACGCGAAAATGCGAAATCGCCCAGCCCTGCTAGAGACGTCCGAGACTCTTGGTCTTAAGTCTTGATTCCATTACCATTCTTCGGTCTTTTTCGGTTTTCTCCTTGGGGTGTAGTCTTGAGACTTGGAAAATTTTCAGTTTCGGTCGTTTCTATTAATCACGATACCAAAATATTTTTATTGTTAGTACACTTGATCTAAAATTTCTTGCTGTAATTATGAAGAAAAAATTATAAAATTTTGATTAAAAAAATAATTTATTTAAAAAATATTTTTAGCCAAAATATTTTTTGTCAAAAAATTAAACAAAAAAATATTAAAAAAAGTTTTTAGATAAATGGATGGGAAAAGTCTCCAACTTTTGTTTAATAAATAACCGCTTATTTTTTATTTTTTCCATTAATTCTCTACTTTAAAAAGAATAAAAATATGTCCCAGCAGCGTGACAAAAAATGTTACTTTTTTATAAATTTGTGACCCTTTTATTTTTTGTTAAAAAACAATTTTTATATGAATAAATTTAAAATAATAATTTATTAATAATTTTTAATTAAAATTCTTTAAATTAAAATATTGGAAAAGGGGAAGACTTTCCCAAGGATGATGAATTATCTTTAAATTTTTTTTTGAAAAAATTACCAAAAACGTAGCCAACATTTAAAGGCAGAGTTGGGTCGGAACAATCAAAGGTGTCGGAAATCGGAAGAGCCGAAAATCAAAACTGGCTCAAAAGTTGGAACTCGGAATTCCGACCCATTTCTATTTAAAAGTGAGACATTTGAGGATAAATTACCGCATTTCCTAAAATAGTACTCCCGGGAGTACTATTTTTTAGTGATGTTCGAGAGTCAAAAAATCCCGAGAGTCGAGAGTCGAGACCGAGACCGAGAATCAACCCCGAGACCGAGACCAAAACGAGAGTCGAGAGTCGAGACCGAGAGTCGAGACCGATAGATTAAGAGGGATATCACTTGATGTCCCTCCTAATCCCCAAAAATCCCTTGATATACCTCAAAATCCCCATACTCGCTTGAATCCCCTTGTCCACAATATATATTCAATGATATTCACATTAATCTCTTAAAATCCCCTCATATCCTTCCATATCCCTACAAATCCAACAATATCTTTTTGATCCATCGATGCACCCATCCATTGATATTAAATTTTATCCTTCAGAATCCACAGTATCTAATATACCACAAACCACAAAATCTAATCCTTTAATCTTATTAAATTAAAATTTTTGCTGCATTTTTGGCGCCGCAGGCGAAAATTGTTTGAATTTTGGAGCTCAAGAAGCCAGATTTCTTCCATTTTTCAGCGCCGCAGGCAAAATTTTGGGAATTTTGGAGACTTTTCCTTAAAAATTTTAATATCAAAGTACGCAAGGTCCGAGTAAAGTTCAAAAAATTTCCGTCATTAGGGGTGTAAATTTAGTCTCGTTTTCCGAGACCAAAACACCGAGACCGAGACCGAGACCGAGAGCTCAAAAAACCCGAGAAATTTCTCGACTCGAGAGTCGAGACCGAGAGTCTCGAACATCACTACTATTTTTCAGCCCTCCTCCAAAGGGGAGTATTATTTAATGGGGAGTACTATTTCAGAAAATACGGTAACTATAAAGTCGGTCATAAAAATAAAAAAACAAAAGTTTATTTCTACTAAATCAAATTAAAAAATATATAGAAAATGATTTAGTTTTACAAATATAAAAATTAATTTTAAATATATTTAGTTTACAAATATTAAAATTTAAATTCGTTAATTTCTAAAAAAGGGAATATTTAATTAATTTAATTATTTAAATTCATCCAACTTTTCTTTTCCTTTAGCGCTTTTATTCGACTTTTTTGTTTCTTCATCTTGATTATTTTTTTCATTTTCTAATTGTTTTATTATTGAATCTAAATGTTTAGTGTTTTGACGAGTTAAATAAGGCTGTTGAGAATTTGGAATTATTTTTGTTGCTATGGGGCGAAAAAGTGTTTGGGGTTCATTGTCAGCAACTTGTATCCCATTTGGATTTTGAACAGTTTGTTGATTTTGCAGATAGTCTTCTTGTTGTTCCTGAATTGGAAATTTGTGTTATTTAGAATATATATTCTAATAATTAATTATCTAACTCTTAGATTCAAAAACTCATAAACACAAAAGCTTCCATAGCTATACTCTTACAGCTATCTCCCATAACATTTTGTCAATCTTTTACTATTTGCATATACCGGCTATCGGTATAATAAAATAACGACAACTGCAGAAATACTTCAGGCTTCTATGAGATAACTTTTTAGGGTATTCAAATTATAATTTACCTACAGATATCCAAAAAGAGGGCGGATCCAGATATCCAAAAATTTTGGATTGTATATCTGAAATCATTTCTTGATCCTCCAACTTTAGACACACTAGGGTGTGTCTAAAATTTTAAAAAGCGAAAGAAGTACTAAAGAAAATAAAAAACGGAAGTTGAAGAGATTTTATCCCTTATACAACTACTATCCAGCAGAACTTAGAAATCGAATGAGATAATATTTTAAGATCGAACAAACCATCTTATATTTCAAGATTTCATCTTCCACAGATTGTTTAATCAGATTTTTTAAGATTCCTTCTTGTAATTGTTGCAGAGCCTTATTTGAACTTTCCGCAGGGTTTTGTTGAATTGGTTTAATAAATTGTTGTCCTTCATTATGTTGTAGGAGTGGATTTTCTTGTGGCAATTTTTGATCGAAAAGTTGCTTTTCATGTTCTGATCCTTGTTGCTCTTTATAAGCTTTTTGATGTTGTAATAGTTGCATTTGTGTTGGAACACTTTCTGTTAACGGGTTTTGTTGGAAAGTTTGAGAATGCTTCCATTCTTCATATTGTCGTCGTAGTTGCAAATCAAGTTCATTATCTAGTTGGAAATTTTGGCCAAAACGGGCTCGCTGTCTTTGTTTATATTCTTTTTTCTGTTGCTGATTTTTAAATGGAAACATGAATTTTTGTAATGAATTGTTTTTCTGATTATAAATTAAATTTTGTTTTGGCATATTTGATGGTTGTCGATAGCCTAAAGTCTTTGAAGTTTCTGCTCGCTTATTCAAAGAAGTCGTTTGTTGAAAATTCTGTCCCATCTTACTCGATACCTGTTGATAACCTGCATTAGTTGAAGGTTCAGTTATCTTATTTAATGTATTCGCTTGTTGATTTTCTATTTTTAATGGACGTTTTTCCGATAGAAAATCTGTCAACATAGATTTTTGTTTAGAAGAAGAAGAACCAGCTTGTTCTGACCCTTTTCTCAAATAATCAGTCCATTGATCAGCAAAACTCTTATCTGAAGGTTGCTGATTAGTTTGTTCAATGGTTGGCTTTGGTAAAATAGGTCGTAAATTTGTAGTCGGCTTGAACATATGAGTATGTTGGAAATACTGATCTGGTGTCAGCTATAAATTAAAAAATAAGAAGCGACTGATGTCAGGTTTATGTCAGGGTTTATTGTTAGGGTTATCGTAGCTAATTAGGTATTCAAAAATTTAAGACAAATTTTCTAAAACGGAAAAAAATAATCTATGTATTAACTCCGACGATGATAGTAAATGTTTAGCAAGAGCTTAGCCACCGGGCCGGATTCTAACTTGCGATAGGTCCCCTGCGCTAGACTACGCTTCCAATTTGCATAAGCTCTACCGCTGTGCCTAGACTAGCATTTTTTGTTGGTATTTCCAACATTCAAAAATACATAAGTTATAATGGCAATGACAACATTCCGCTTATCTTGCTTAATAGTAGAGATACATATATCCAATTCTAGTATTTACCTTTTTTCGGATGAATACTAGAATTTGCGGATTTTAATTTTAAATTTTCTAAAACATAAGCTTGTTGGGTCTACTATTCGGTTCCAAACCACAGCTGTTTCGAAACTAAGAAATCTTCGGAAATCATAAATCGAAATTTTGAAACAGCTCTGTTTCGAACCGAGCTTTAACGCTTACATTATTTTGTTTAAGCAATTGTGAAAAATCCATTGGTTTCATATTACTTATATTTGAAAAATTTCTATTTTCTGGTGTTAAATGTGCCTCAAAAGCATGTTTTTGTACCACTGAAGGTTGACTCGAACTAGCCCCAATTTTTTCCATATTTATTCCTTGATAATTCTCCTGTATTTTATTCGATGGAGCATAATTTATATTTTTTCCTAGTAACTTCAAAAATGGCTTGGATTCTTCTAGACTTGTCATTTCCTTCTTCACGTTAATTAAATTTTCATTTTTGTTTGCTATAAAATTATTAATTAAATTTTGGGTAGAAACTGAAGTGATCATTATTTAAACAAGAACCAATTAATCATATTAACTTAATACTAGGTTAGCTCTCGATCCCTTTAGTCGTCGGATGTGTAGTGGTTCGGGTTTACTGTACGAGCTGCTATATTTATTCCTTGATAATTCTCCTGTATTCTATTTGGTGGAAAAATTAATAATTAATGTCGCGGGCTTTGAGTAGATTATGCGGTTATCGAGTGGTAATCAGTGATGTCAAAGTTCCAGTTCCAGTTCCGGAACTAAGGAATTTCAAAAATGGAGTTCCGGAACTGGAACTACAAAAATTAAAAACCTGGTTCTGGAACTGGAACTAGTTCCAGAGAAATTTTGGAACTTTGACATCACTAGTGGTATCAGAGGAATGAGATGGATATCGAGGGATTAAGCGGTATGAAGTTTCCGAGTACGGGTAATACCGAGTATTGGGATCCCGAGTTCCGAGCCCCCCGAGCGATCGAGTCGAGTAAACTCGAACTCGCTCGACTCGGACGTACTCTACTTTCAAGTCAAATTCTTGATAATTGTTGTAAATTATTTCAAATGTATTATTAATACCTTTATTTGCCAATGCATTTATTATGTTTCTATTCATGTTTTGTTCATTAAATTTTATTCCTTGCTGAATTTGCAATGTACTTTTGGGTAATGGGGGTGCTTTCTCTTTTTTTAATGTGCAAATAACTTCTAATTCATTACTTATGTTATAAATTGATAGTAAATATTCATTTGCATGTAATTCATAAAACTGGGGTGTTGGGCAGAAAAAGTCTAACTAAACAAAATTATCATTATTATTAGAACGTTTTTTCTTTCCGTTACATTTTCATGGGAAAGCTTTAAAATTTTTTTAACAAAATTAAGAGTGCCTCTGGGCGGGAGCAGGTCCACCTACCGCGAGCCCAACCTACCGCCGAGCTATAATTTCGTTCAGAATTGTCGAATCCGTGACTATTAGTTCTGGGCATGGCATCGTCTAACCAAAATTTTTGGTCTGCTTGGCCCACAGCCGAGATGTGAAGATAGTCAAAGGCGGGGCTAGGGGCATACATAACCAGCAGAGATAGAATGTTTTTATTTAGATTCTCAACCCCGAATAAAAAACTACTTACACTTATATTAAATTCCTTTAATTTTAACCGATACTGATCTTCTGGACATGGAACTCCTTCAAAAAATGTTGTATATATGTAACCTGCAGTTGTAAATATTTTTAAATTTTTTAATTCATTCTGAATATTAGAAGGCTTTGAACAGTTTAACTCATCAAAGCTTAATTGAACTTGGCCTTTTAAGGGACTTGTGTCAATATAAAATTGAAGAATAAAGCCATTACAAGGAAGGAAATATAAAAATAGTTGAATAATTAAGGCAAATATTTTCATTTTATTTTATTTAAAAAAATAAATTTAAATTTTTGTTTGTCGCTAGACTTTATTTAGCTTTTATAAGATAAATATTTGTCTAAAAGTACAATCTTTAAATCAAAAATAAAAGTGCAATGTCTATGAGAAAATAAAATTATGAAAGATGCACTTAAGTATATTCATGTGATTGTCAGATGTCAGACAAGCAACATTCTTGTTTTGAAATCAGTGTTGAAATTGAAGTTGTAAGCTAGTAATTTCTTCCAAAATGTTGATAAACGACCTGAGGTGTGTTCAAATACAAATACGAACGTGAGTAACAAACTATTCTTCATCACAAAGGAATTACAATAGATTAATAGTGACTATGCATTGGATATAGGGTGGAAGGACAAGGAGAAAGATTTCTCCCTTTTCAGCGCCTGCGGCGCTGAAAATTTTGAGAATTTTAAAGGTCAAGAAGCTAGATTTCTGCCATTTTTGTCAGAAAATTTGGAATAATATTATCGCGTCTTGTTGGAATCGTACCTATTTTTACGAGTCATTTGTCGAAGGCAAAATATTTAAAAATTTTCGAAGGCTAGATTTTCTAAGTAGAGCGAACCGAACCCCCAAAGTTGCTCATCTGATTCAGCAGGCGGCCCAATCATCAATTTCGATGGCTAATAGAAAAATCTTGGGGGTAAATTTCGGGATTGATGTAGTAAATAAGCATGCTCGCTTTCTTCAGCGCCGCATGAGATTTTTTGAGAATGTTGGAAGTTTAAGAAGCCAGCTTTCTTTCAATTCCTCGAAAAGTCCATTCATTGTATATTTAGCCCTCGACGAGGTTCTTGGCGAGGGCGGAAACCGAGGTTCCGAGACCGAGGATCGACCGAACCGTTCGAACGACATCTGCCAACGTCGCGCAACCCTAATCTATATTCGAAAGCTCTTTACCGAAAATTTACATAAACTCTGTCTAAAAAGTTTAAGCACCCCCAAAATTTTTGTAAAAATACATGATCCCTATGCATTATTTGTTTGATTTTTTCATACATTAGCAGATAAAAAATTAGTTTTTAAATTTTATTAGTCTATTTTCCGTTCGAAATTTAATACGTATATTTTTAAAATTAATTTATTTTTGTCTCAGCAAAAATTTTTTCACATCCTTTTCGTTTTCTATATTTGTTTTTTATAATATATTTTTTATAATATATTTATAATATATTTGCCATAACAAAGATTACACCAATAAGGGCATTTTCCAGAGCCACAGTTTCCAATACAGCTTAGTGGAAGACATCTACGGCGTACACGGAAATATCCAAGAACTGGGCTTTCTGTAACGATTAAAAATAATGTTTTTTAGTTTATTAAGAAGTCAGTATTCCTTTCTTATTTTGTGCTTAATTACTTTTACGTTGGAAAAATTTGATAAAATTAAAAAAATTAAAAACTGTCAAGAATTTGATGTATTCTATCGGATCTTTTTGTTGTTGAAAATATTGTACACTCAACTGAGAGTTGAGTCCGATTATGCATGATAATTTTTATTTAATTCGTTTTTGATAATTCTGATGAATATAACCGTATATAAAAAATTTTAAAAAAACCCCTGCGAGAGGTTGTGAGATTAATCCAAGATTATGATAAAGATAATAAAGTAAGTTCAAATTTGTAAGGTAGTCCGTGAATCCGACGATACCCATCAACCCCCACTCCTAAACACTAGCTCATTTTTACTATTTGGATGGATATGAATAAAAAATTTTCTCATGTTACTATGTACATTGACTTGAAGATTGATCGGAATTCTCTCTATAATTATCCTTTATAATTATCCCATATCTCTATAATTATTCCCATCTCGGTACCCCCAATTTTTTATCTCAACTATAAGCATTACCAATGTCAGCCATGTCAACATTCTCTTCCCCATGACCTTCCATTCCTTTAATTTCTTTATTTGTTTCAGCCATTATAACAGCAATAGAATAAATCAAAACAATAATTAAAATTAAGTAAATTTTCATTTTTATTTTGAATATATTTTCTGTTTTATTATTTTTAAAATTTTTTAATATTTAAAAAATTTTTTTTTAGCTTTTATAAAGTTTTTTTTTCGTCTCAATCGCAGTTTTTAATAGTTTTAAAGTTCCATTATAAAATGTACTTTTATTTAAAAAATATTTAAATGTAAACAAATTAATAAAAAAAATTTTTTTATTTAGTTCATATTAGTAATTTATTTTTAATTTATTTCAAATCTAAAACTGGTTTTTGTTTAATTTTAAAAATTTATTTTCTTATTTTATTTTTATTTTTTAAACTTGTTTTGATTCAAATCAAATTTTATAGCTCAGACACGACGATTTCAGACAATAAATTTTAATGTGATAAAATAAAAAATTACTTCCTTAACATAAAATTTAAAATTGTCAAAATAATTTTAAGAAGATTTGAGTGCGAGTCTAGCTGCTTTGAAACAAAAAAATCTTCGAAATATAAAATCGGAAGAAAAAAACGTCGCAAATCGAAATTTCGACGCAGCTCTGGTTCGAGTCAATAAATCGATTTTCGATAAATCGAGATTATGTGTTACATGCCATAGGAATCCTTGAATCCCCTACTAACGGTTTCACTGATGAAATATTAATGTTTTAGATTGATATTATTCCCACAGTCATTCTGATGAAATAAAATTGAGGCTTGCTTTAATCTGTATGCGAAATTATTAAATAAATTATACTAACAAGGTAATTCGATTTTGTGACCACGATATCCATTCATATTCCTGATATATTCCTTAATCTCCCGAATCCGCTTAACACCAATCAATCCGTTAATTGGAGTTAAATTAATTTAGTTAAATTAATTTTTTAAATTAATTTAATTCCAATTAAGCCCCCATAAAACCTCCTTGATTCCACTAAGTCAATCGTCATCCCATTGATCATCGATATTTGTCTAAATCCGCTGCACCAAATGATCAATTGATGAAATTAAGCAAATTAAAGTAAATTTTCAAAAGTTATAAAACTCGGGTATCATTAAACTTGGCCTTGGCCAAATTTGACCCTCGACCTCGATCACGGCTATTAAAGCCTCGGAGATCCTTGGTCTTGGTTTTTTCGGAAAATCTCGACCACACGCGCAACTCTAGACAAAGCAAAATTCATAAAAAGTAAAAAGAATTTAATGTGTCATCAAAACTTTTTTATAGTTTTGATATATATTGTCATCAAAACTACATATAAATATTTGTAAACATTTATACTATCACAATTGAAAATTACAATAAAATAAATTTTTTATAAAATATTATACATTCTTCAATTTCTCAATTCAACTTTCCTCAAATATCCCTTCAAATCACATACATATATCCTTCTGGCAACAAATCGTGACTATTTTTTAATTTTTTTAAATCAATTGAATTTTCTTCGTTTTTATTAAATGACTCAGTCCTCGGCCAAAAATAATGTTCGGGTAATTTATGTTCAAAAGAAAATTTCTCCCAACTTTCTTTATGTTCAAATTTTGTAGATTCACCAGCCAATGCTTTTTGTTCTGACTACAGAGCACCTTACAATTATCTAAAAAATATGTAAATTTGTATACCTATATTTTGATATTATTAATTTATACATATTAGGGTTGATTGACTAAATGCTTGTACATATACAGCAGTTCTGGGTATGACTTCGGCTAGCCAACAATTTTGAACTGCTTAGACTCACAGCTATGGCTTTAAATAACCAACAGTGATAGAATGTTTTTATTTGGTGTACGGATATATCAGGACGGACATTCAGGATTGGGGCGGAAAAAATTTATACTGTCCACGACCAGTGGCCGTAGGTCCCGAAATCAGTAAGTAACTATTCGTACGTTAAAATATCCCGATATGTCCGTCGCGATATGTCCGCGTGCCTTTTATTTAGATCCTCAATATCAAATAAAAAACTACTTACATTAATATTAAATTCCTTTAATTTTAACGAATACTGATCTTCTGGACATGGAAGTCCTTCAAAAAATGGCGTATATATGTAACCTGCCAGTATAACTAAACTCCGTTCCAAAAAACCTCGACACCCCCAATTTTTCAGATAAATCGACTTACGGTTGTCTACTTTTTTATAATCTTTTTATATACTGATTCAGCAGCAAAAACTACCCTATTTTACAAAAAATTTTTGCAAACTGATAATTTTATCAAAAGTTATGATAAATTTTCAAAAAATCAGGCGTTCCAAATATCCTCAAACAGTTTGTAAAAATACCGATAATTACGGAAAAAATTTTTCTAAAATTTAACAAAAATTTCTATAAACATAACTATCAATAAGCTACAAAATAGAAAAAAAACTAAGTCGAAAACTGCTTTCATCATCGAGATCTCAAATCTCGAAAATCAACGGAAAATAGGGTTACAGTACTTTAAAAAATATTTTTTACCTATTACAGTATGCCTAAAAATTTCATTTTATACTTGATGAATAGCCCATAAAATTTGATACAAGTTACAAAAGGGCTCGTGTCGACGCAGAAGACCCACAGACAGAAGACCCAAGGACAGAAGAACCACAGACAAAAGACCCACAGACAGAATACCCACAAGGACAGAATACCCACAGACAAAAGACCCACACCTATTTTTTATTTCCCTTTTATTGTGCATAAATGTTGGCGCGAGGGATGTTGTTAGTTCTATCTGTTTCGCACAATAAGAAATTGATCCAACAACGGGGTTGTTTCAATATTAGGGAAAATTGTTCCAACAATCTGGAAGGTTGTTCAAACAATGTGGGACGTTGTTCCAATGACAGGGAAGTTTGTTCCAACAACGAGTATGTTATTTTAACAATGGGGAATGTTCTTGCAACAACGGGTTAAGTTGTTCCAACGATGGGAATATTGTCACAATTACGTTGGAACTTGTTTATCGAAGAGAGATCTTAATTTCCCGGATTTTCTGGATTTTGATCCTGAAAATTCGGTCAATGTCGTGTCAAAAAATCGGATCCGATCAGATTCAGATGTATTAAATAGTATAAAAATAGCTAATTGGCCTTCCAATATTCTCAGAATTCGCACCTGTGTCGCTAAAAAAGTAGAAATCAGGCTTCTTGGTCTTACAAAATTTCCAAAATTCTTGTCACAAAAATTTCCGAAATTCTTGTCACATGGAGGGATATAGAAGGATTAGAAGCGATCATGGGTATTGAAGATATGCAAGGATAACGGGGATCTTTGGGATAAAAGAGATTAGTTAATTTTTTCTGAGTAACATGGAGGGATATCGCGTGATAAAAGCGGATTAGTAGTAAAAGCTTAAAAGGTTTACATCCCTTGAAATTCCCTGACATATCAGATTTATGTTAAGAAAGATATAAGTATTCCTTCTTCTGGTTTCTGTTATAAACAAGATAAGAATAGATATCGGTAAATTCGAGATTTTACCCCTATATTCTCTATATCCCACACTATTCCTGTGGGATATTAATCACCCGGCTCTTCAAATCACTTTCTAATTTAATGATCATCTCACTGGCCATTAAAGTTTAACGCTAAAAATTATGTATATTGATTAACTTTATAATAAAAATTTTTTTATATTTTAAAATTTTTTAATTTTGCTTCTTGAAAAATTAGAAATCTTTTTCAGAAATTTTAGAAAATTTTTTCTAAAGTTTTAATTGAAAAATTTTCTTGTGGGTCTTTTGTCTGTGGGTATTCTGTCCTTGTGGGTATTCTGTCTGTGGGTCTTTTGTCTGTGGTTCTTCTGTCCTTGGGTCTTCTGTCTGTGGGTCTTCTGTCACTACGCCAAAAGGGCTCATCTTTCTAAAAAATTTATCGGTGTCGGCATTCAAGCTTAAATAACTAGCATACCAAAAATAGCCGTGACTATTACTTCTGGGCATGGCATCGACTAGCCAAAATTTTTGGTCTTCTTGACCCACAGCCGAGATGTTAAGATAGTCAAAGGCGGGGCTAGGGCTATACATAACCAGCAGTGAGAGAATGTTTTTATTTAACTTCTCAACCTCGATAAAAAACCTCTAATAAATAACTACTTACACTTATATTAAATTCCTTTAATTTTAACTGATACTGATCTTCTGGACATGGAAGCCCTTTAAAGAATGGCGTATATATGTAACCTGCCGTTGTAACTATTTTTAAATTTTTTAATTCATTCTGAATATTAGAAGGCTTTGAACAGTTTAACTCATCAAAACTTAATTGAACTTGGCCTTTTAAGGGACTTGTGTCAATATAAAATTGAAGAATCAAGCTATTACAATGAAGGAAATATAAAAATAGTTGAACAATAAGGGCAAAGATTTTCATTTTATTTTATTTAAAAAAATAAATTTAAATTTTTGTTTGTCGCTAGACTTTATTTAGCTTTTATAAGATAAATATTTGTCTAAAAGTACAATCTTTAAATCAAAAATAAAAGTGCAATGTCTATGAGAAAATAAAATTATGAAAGATGCACTTAAGTATATTCATGTGATTGTCAGATGTCAGACAAGCAACATTCTTGTTTTGAAATCAGTGTTGAAATTGAAGTTGTAAGCTAGTAATTTCTTCCAAAATGTTGATAAACGACCTGAGGTGTGTTCAAATACAAATACGAACGTGAGTAACAAACTATTCTTCATCACAAAGGAATTACAATAGATTAATAGTGACTATGCAATGGATATAGGGTGGAAGGACAAGGAGAAAGATTTCTCCTTTTTCAGCGCCTGCGGCGCTGAAAATTTTGAGAATTTTAAAGGTCAAAAAGCTAGATTTCTGCCATTTTTGTCAGAAAATTTGGAATAATATTATCGCGTCTTGTTGGAATCGTGCCTATCTTTACGAGTCATTTGTCGAAGGCAAAATATTTAAAAATTTTCGAAGGCTAGATTTTCTAAGTAGAGCGAACCGAACCCCCAAAGTTGCTCATCTGATTCAGCAGGCGGCCCAATCATCAATTTCGATGGCTAATAGAAAAATCTTGGGGGTAAATTTCGTGATTGATGTAGTAAATAAGCATGCTCGCTTTCTTCAGCGCCGCATGAGATTTTTTGAGAATGTTGGAAGTTTAAGAAGCCAGCTTTCTTTCAATTCCTCGAAAAGTCCATTCATTGTATATTTAGCCCTCGACGAGGTTCTTGGCGAGGGCGGAAACCGAGGTTCCGAGACCGAGGATCGACCGAACCGTTCGAACGACATCTGCCTCGTAGAGCACTCAACGTCGCGCAACCCTAATCTATATTCGAAAGCTCTTTACCGAAAATTTACATAAACTCTGTCTAAAAAGTTTAAGCACCCCCAAAATTTTTGTAAAAATACATGATCCCTATGCATTATTTGTTTGATTTTTTCATACATTAGCAGATAAAAAATTAGTTTTTAAATTTTATTAGTCTATTTTCCGTTCGAAATTTAATACGTATATTTTTAAAATTAATTTATTTTTGTCTCAGCAAAAATTTTTCACATCCTTTTCGTTTTCTTTGTTAAAACAATTTTAAGATGATTTAAGTGCGAGTCGGAGCTGCGTCGAAACGAAAAAATCTTTGAAAATCGAAAATCGGATATCGATAAATCGAGATTATGTGTTACATGCTATTCGAATCTTTGAATCCACTGCTATTGGTTTCACTGATGAAATATTAATGTTTTAGCTTGATAATAGTCCCACAGTCATTCTGATGAAATAAAATTGAGGCTTGCTTTAATCTGTATGCGAAATTATTAAATAAATTATACTAACAAGGTAATTCGATTTTGTGACCACGATACCCATTCATATTCCTGATATATTCCTTAATCTTCCGAATCCGCTTAACACAAATCAATCCGTTAATTGGAGTTAAATTAATTGATCTAATTAATTTAACTCCAGTTAAGCACCATTTTATCCTCCTTAATTCCACTATGTCCATCGCCGTCCCTTTGATATTTCGATAGTGATCAATTAGTATCAAAGTATTTGTTCAGATACTTTGATTTTTCACTTCTTTACCAATCAAATTTCAAATACAAAGTCTGAATACGATGGAAATTATTAATTTGTAATAATTTACTAGAAATTCGATGAAATCAAGCAAATTTAAGTAAATTTTCAAAAATTATAAATTTTTTTGAAAACAAAGGTCTCAAATTTGACCCTCAACCTCGATCTCGGCTCAAATTTGACCCTCGTCTCGACTTTTTGAGCCTCGGCGATCCTTGGTCTCAGTTTTGCGATCAACCACGCGGAACTCTAGACAAAACAGCATTTATAAAATGTAAAAATCAATTTAAATTGTTATCAAAACTATAATATTTTTAAACATTTATACTATCACAATTGAAAATTACAATAAAATAAATTTTTCATAAAATTCATCCTCAATTTCTCAATTCAACTTTCTTCAATTTTATCTTCAAATCACATACATATATCCTTCTGGCAACAAATCGTGACTATTTTTTAATTTTTTTAACTCAATTGAATTTTCCTCGTTTTTATGAAATGACTCAGTCCTTGGCCAAAAATAATGTTCGGGTAATTTATGTTCAAATGGAGATTTCTCCCAACTTTCTTTATGTTCAAATTTTGTAGATTCACCAGACAATGCTTTTTGTTCTGACGCCCAAAAATGGTCGATATGTTCTGTTGCTATCTGTAAATTTAATTTATTATTACATTTATGATGAGTATGTTTTGATTAAGCAAAGAAGCTAAGCGGATATAGTTAGACTTTAAAATGAAAACCGAGGAAAACTGTAGGTAGGTAGTGATATTGCTAAGTAGTGATACTCCTCAATAGGGTTGTAGGTTCTAGACCGAACCAAAGAACCAAGGATTTTTCTGTTGGGTTCAGTAAAGCAGCTAGGCTATAGCTATTTCGCTCCTTTAGCTAGTGCAAAAGGTTAATCGGCGGCTCTTCAGTAGACCGGACTGATGTGTTAGCCATTACACCGCGCCGCCTGCTGCATAGCCTTAGGAATTAAATAGCTATATGCTTTACAGTTCTTCGGTTCAGTTTCGGATATCCGAAGAATTTCCAGGAACCGACAATCCTACACCTCGATATAAAAAATATTTCTATTGCCTTCAACTTTTCAATTTCTTCATGTTTATCTTCCACAACATTAATCTTATAACGTCTCATAGCTTCATATTTTCTATAAAAAAGCATCCAAGTATCAACAACTTCACAAATATTTCTATTTAACCAATTTGGAGGTGTCTTTTTAGTTTCTCTATAAAGTGTAATTTCCTCAAAAGTCTTGACTATATTAACTAAATTTTTTGATTTTGTTTCAAAATTTTTATTTTCGATTGTTGAAGATTGTGGAAGGGCTTTTTTAACTTTATTTTGTAACTCGTCATGTGATGTGATTCTTTCATCAACATTTTCTAGTATTGGTCTGGCAGCCAGATTTAAGTTTAAAGGGCCTTATTTTTAATTAATTATTTTTAGGAATTATATTTAATTAAAATTAAAGTAAAAGTATGAGTAAAAGTTGCTGCTTTCACCATCTTTTTTTATCTATCTTAATGTTAAATGCTAGCCAGATGGATCTCCTCCCTTCCTTCTACATTAACTTACTTAAATATTCCTCTATATCCCCACAATATTTATATCCACAATATCCATATCCCCACAATACCCCGCACACATATCTCCACACATATCACTCAAATTCCATATCCCCACAAACGGCTAAAATTTTGCTTATTACATGGGATAATGGAATTATTTGCTGCCCAAACTATTGGCGATCAACCTTGATGTTTTTAAAAAATTTAAATTGATAAAGTTGAGCATAAACTTTATTTCAAGACTATTTATCTGTTAAAGTCTAAAATTTTTCCTATTTGACTACTACAAATTTTTAATTAAATACCTCCATAAGGATTATCGACAACAATTAAAAATTGTATCCAATTCTTTACAGGTACCCGAATGTTAAACCATTTCCAACAATTTTCTTTCCATTCAGAATTTTCAATATGCAACCCGTCCACATAGCTAGGACAGAAAAATTTATTTTTGTCATCAAATATTTCAAAAATAAATTCTAATCGAGTAAATTCACTTTTTAAAGCTTCTATATCTTTTTTAGCTTCTTCAATTAAAATCTAGAAAACGCTAGTTTTTATTAAATAAAAAAATATAATTTAAATTAACTGATTCAACATTATGTGAATTTGAAAAAAATTTTTCTTTGTTTTGAAATACGATATTTCTAAATTGGTGTCCCTTTGAATTTACATTATGTGATTGACGGTTGCTTGTAGATTCCTCTTTTTCTAAATATTTTTGGAGAGAATAAATTAAAAGTTAAAAAATTTTATGACATTATTGTTAAAAGACTACAGCCCAAAACAACTTGCGGACAAAACAAACTATCTGGGAAATTTTGCGTGTGCCAATCTCTTTAGCCAATGAAAGAAATCGTTTAATAATAAATTTGTTAAGATTCGGAAATCTGAAGCAAGTTAGGGTTAACAAGTTAAGTTAAATTTTAAAGTTTAACAAGTTAACACTAAAAAGTGTAAAATAGAGTAATTGAAAAAGATGAAAAAGCGCGCGCGTAATTTCTGCTTCTTCTGATCAACTCCAAAAGTTTGGCGGTTCCACTGTTATATGGATGATCCGCATTAAAGGAGACACTCCACTAGAGAGGTGCCGGAACTCGGAAATAGCTCAGAAGTCGTAATTCGAAATTCCGATTCACCTCTGATCTGCATGTTCCTTAAGCTAAACTATTTAACTCTTACTCTGTTTCTGAAACTAACAAATAAGAAACATTTCCTTCAACTAGAATTTTAAAATAACAAATTTATTTCGTTACCTTTTTTATTATCATCCCCATTACTAAATTCTTCAATTAATTTTAATTTGACTTGTTGAGAGGTTAATAATTGACAGAAGAAAATAATTAAGAAAAAGGCTAAATTTTTTGACATTTTTATTTAATTTTTGATTTTTTAAAATTTGGATTCCCTTTTAAATGCAGTGTTTTTGATGATGTAATAGGAAGAAAATGCAATATACAATAATTATTGCGTCTTTAAAAATTAAGGGCATTATACGTTTATTAAGAAATGGCTAGAATTGATGGGCAATTTTTGTTGTAAATTGCGTGATGTCGGTAATAAGGTGTACGGTTACAATATTTTCTCATTAAAAAATTTATTTTTCTTTGAAATAAAAATTTAATTATTAATTTTATTACAATTAAAACTTGCACTTTGAAATTTTTGTTTGAAAAATTAAGGATTACTGTACCCTTCCGTTTTCAGGATTTCGAAGAGTTTCCATATTATTTAATGGGGTATTATTGGGAGGATCAAAAGCATCCCGAAGTTTGTTTCCTATAGTTTATATCCGTTTTATCAGTTTAAATTCCATTCCACATTCTTGCTTATTCACTTTAACGAATTACATAAAGGTTTTAATATTATTTGGATTAAACTAATAAATTGTGTTTAATTGTGTGTGTCCGGTGAAGGAGATCAACAGAGGGCCTGATCAACTCTTGAGTTTATCCTAGGAAGTCCCGGGCATATTTTCTCCCTTATTACATTATTCTGTGGTTGGGTCCTCGCATTAGAAACAACACAATCGGGGGTCCCACCTTTATTTTATAAATCAGTTATTTGCTAATAATCTAATATCAAAGCTTGCCAAGATCTAACCCTTGAAAGGGCCACATACAATATCCATGACTAAACACATCTTTAACTAAATCTATTTCTAGTTTTTCTAATGGCTGTCCTTGTGCTTTATTCACAGTCATAGCAAAAGCTAACACCAATGGAAATTGATGCCTATGCAACAGGGCTGGGCACACTTTCGCGATTCGCATCTTTCGCATTTTTCACTAAAGTAAGTCGAGTACCGAGTAATTGGGAAAAACCCGAGCTCGAGTAATTCGAGTTTGAAAAACCCGTGTTCGAGCTCGAGCTCAACTTTTTAGGCCTAGTAACCCAGATATTGATGATTTATATGTCATTCGAAAAACTCCTCGAGCTGAGTCGAATGACAGGAAAATTAGCGAAATCCAACTTGATTTAACAAAGTTATAAGCATTTGTTTTAGCTCTTTACTTTGATATACGTGCAGTTTTTGCTTCTGCGGAAGAAGCCAGAATTTCCGACCCGACCGCAGCTAAAATGGCATAAGTTTATGTTACTTATCCAAAATTCCTTATTTGTCGACTTCTATGTGACATCCAAAAATATACAGTGCTTTCTACAAGTGGCAATTATTAAATCAAAAACTATCCAAAAATTTAAATCAA